TGACCAGGAACAGTCTCGAATGCATCGTAGATGATCTGAGCCATGGGCTGGCCGAATTTGCTTCCCAAGATGTGGTTCTCGATATCAGGGTTCTGGATGCAAAAGCAGGTGACAATCAACAAGACAAAACCAAGGATGGCGCAGGTGCCGATGGCGCCCAAAATACCTATTGGGACGGTTTTGGTGGCATTGGTACATTCTTCTGACATATGGACGCAAGAGTCGAATGCACTAATGCTCCAGATAGCAGGCAACCAAGCTTGAGAGAGCTGGTTCCAACCCATGGGGAAATTTGTAAGATTATCAAACTCGCCAAATACCCAACTAGCTTTCTGAAATCCACCACGAGAAGCTGCAATAGGCATGGCAATTATGAACAAGACAACCAAGCCGGTGTTCCAGATGATGGAGGTGGTCTGTAAAGCAGCACAATTCTTGGACGAGAGACACGTCAAGGCTATATGTGCCACTACACAAGCAACAAAGACACCATACGTCTTGGCTGGTGTGACTTCAAAATCGCCGTCAGTAGCGATAACCACAATAGACAAGATCTCCTGGGCAAGTCCGTAATCCACAGAGCAAAGCGCTCCGACCAAGGCGATGGAGTTTGTGTTACCCACAACGTATGAAATCACAGTTTTGAATCTAGCTGGGGCGTAAAAGTTTGTCCAGTAGTAAAGGCCACCCGAAGTGGGTTGAAACGAGGCATTCTCACTCATAGCTAAACCAATAGTGAAGATCAACACAGACGTGATGAGCCATCCCCATATCGCTCCTGCTGGACCTGCCAAAAGAGCATTACTCAAGATCGATGACACAGAGGGCAAAAGGCCCATGATGGAGTAGGCAACTCCGAATACCTGTATTGCGTTGAATCGACGTTTGAGCTCCGGCTTGTAACCGATTTGTGCAAGAAGATCATTATCTGAGGTTGCGTTGAGGGCGTCCGGGAGAGGCAGCTCGACATTGTGTGTGTTGTTGAAATAGTGCTTGTCCGAAGTGACAGCTTCCAGTATCTCCTCGCTAGAACGCACAGGATGGAGCATCTTGGTTATGAGATTTGATGAGTAGCTACCACGGTATATATTTCTAAATGCTTACAACAAGTGTGTGGCTTCCGGCACAACTGCTAAAGTAGCAGAAATCCCTCCACAGTTGTCGTTGGCTATGGCGTTTTTTGATTGTCACGATAGGTTGAGAGATAAGCTGTGCATATTCTAGCGGGTGCTTCGATTTGGAGGAGCAACAAGTTTTTGCGCCAAATTTCCATTTCTCGAGGTTACATCAAACAAAAGCTGAATTTTTAGATTCTGGTAGGTTGACATCTGTCGGCTTTATTCACAGATTCCCGCTTGTGCGATTTGGGCGACAATAAGAAGACAAGCGTCAACGTCGGAGAATTAAGCTTTCAAAAAACTGTGGCGGAATCAAGGTCATCTTACTTTGGTGCTCGGTTTAATACTTTTCAAATTACGATTATTCTTATCCCCTCGGAGTGAGCACACTGATCTCCGTGGCGTCAGAGATCAGCTTGCGTCGAGCAATGGAGTACTCCGCTGTCAAGCTGCAGTGACATCTACTGGCCCTCGACATGAAGATCTTGTCACAAAACGCTGAAAAGGGGCATGAAATTACACAATTGCTTTTTGCACCATTGCGGTGGCTAAAGTATACATCAAAACCACTGGTAATCGCATTATATCTCGGTTCGGTCGCTTTCTTTAGCCAAAAAGCACTTTGAAGTCCTTGCTGGCACGATTTCCTCGGTACAATGGACAAATTGACCCGGTTTCTATAAAAGCTTGGCCATCCTCTGGATTTTGCAGCCATCGTCATGAGCACAAACGTCGTTAGAGAAGGCTTCCATCGAGCCCCAGAACACGACGCTTGATGTCAGCGACGTGGAGTCCTTGATCTCCGTGAGTGTCGAAGAGTTTTTTGAAGATTAACGGAGAGACAAGGTTTGAAAATATTCAGAAATACATTGCCTCGGTAGTTGGAGAAGGAAGGCTACTATGAAGACCGCTTCACATATAAAGAATGGCTGCGAAACTCAGTTGATTAGCTTTATTCAAGTTAAGAACTGACCGATAGACCGCCATTTGTCAGCGAAAAAACTCCAAAGACAACGACACAATAAGCATGAATGTCAAACGCAAAATCTTCCAAATGCACACATCCGTGGCATCAATGGTGGTTCCACATTGTCAGCGTCAGGTCCCTACAGGATGGTCCAAGATGCCTATCGCCGCTAAACCCAGAACCCACACAAAAATAGAGAAAAAAAAAAAAGCCAATTGCCTATTCTATATTGGCTGGTCTAAAATTGTGGCCAGTGCTGCTTAACCAATCCACTCCGTACCGCCCCAAACTGCCCGATTCGCTTTCTCCATGTATCTCCAACCCCATAAGCGTTGTGCCACAATAACGGGGCGTTTTTGCAAAACAACCGTAATGTGCTTGGCGATGCAGTTCACGCCTGCTATTGAAAGCCTGCCACGGACGCTGTCAATCAGTGGTGCCAAGGATTGAAAAATGAGGCTCATCTGTGGCTCTATCGCTTATCTATTCAGCACTAAACGATTTGTGGAAGCCGTTTCACCGATAAATGGCAATCCACCATTTTTCAAAATAACGATAAGCACACTCAAAGGAATTGTCACCTTGAAAACGCCGCATGGAATAAATCCGTCAGATGCAACACCTTCAGCACTCTTGCGTTATCGCACCGCATCCATGAGCCATCGAACCACTGCACCAAACTGTGGCTGGCACTTTTGATTATCGACAATGCCAGGAAAACGGATTGACTCGATTTGGTGATTTTTGAATTTTCGATTTTTCGACTTTTCGTAGTTCAGTTTTCATTCGACAAAGACACCATCCCACGGATCTGCCTGGACGGCTTATCTCTGCTTATCATGCAACCTTCCCTTTTGGTCCGGTCGCTTTCTTTAGCCAAAAAGCACTTTGAAGCCCTTGCAGGGACAATTTCCTCGGCACAATGAACAAATTGGCCCGGTTTCTATAAAAGCTTGGCCATCCACCGGATTTTGCAGCCATCGATATGAGCAAAAACGAAAGCGGTTCGTTGGAAAAGACTTCCATCGAGTCCCAAAAGAAGACTCTTGATGTCAGTGTCCAAGACGTGGAGTCCTTGATTTCCGTGAGTGTCGAAGATAATGTCTTTCAAGCAGAACACAACCTCGAAAGAGGCCTCAAGCAGCGCCATATCCAGATGTTGTCCTTGGTGGGTGTTTTCGGCACAGGTTTGTTTTTGTCGAGTGGAAAAACACTAGCCTTGTGTGGAAACGTCGGAATGGTGCTTTCGTACCTCTTTATCGGTATCCTTGTCGGTTTGAACCAGCTTGCCATGATCGAAATGTCCTGTTTGATGCCTGTGACTGGCTCATACATCAGACACGGAGAGCACTTTGTGGATCGTGCGTTTTCGTTTGCATTGGGCTGGATTTGCGTCTACCAGCAGATTCTTCCTAGTGAGATTGCAGCCACTTCCGTGGTTATGGGGTACTGGAGTGATTTGAATCCTGCTGTGTGGGTGACGGTTTTTCTGGTGATCATTATCGGCTGCAACTCGTACAGAATCCGCTTTTACGGAGAAATCGAGTTCTTTTTCGGCGTGCTTAAGATTCTTTTGATTTCTGGCCTCATCATTGTATCTGCCGTGATGGACTTGGGTGGTGTGGCTAATGTGGACAGAATCGGGTTCCGTTACTGGAAACAAACCCCGTTCAGAGAGTACTATACCGACGGAGACCTTGGGAAATTCTTGTCCTGGTGGAAAGCAGCTGGTTCTGTTGTGTATGCCTTTGGTGGAGTGAATTCCATCTCTTTCTATGCTGGAGAAACCCAGAAACCCAGACACTCCATTTACACTGCCGGTAAGCGTATTTTCTTCAGGGTTTTCACTCTTTACCTCCTCACTGTTTTCGGCCTTACGCTTATTCTTCCAGCTGACCACCCCAAAATCGCCAACACTACTGGAGACTCCACAGGCTCACCTTTCGTTATTGCGATCCAAGAAGCCGGGATCAAGGTGCTTCCAGACATCATCAATGCAATTGTGTTAACATCAGCTTTTTCCGCTGCAAACTTGAGTTTGTTCAAAACCTCCAGAGACCTCTTTGCCTTGGCTGCAAAAGGCCAAGCTCCCAAGATCTTCATCAAAACAAACCGATTTGGATTGCCATATTGGGGTGTCATAATAGCCGCTTTGTTCATGCCTTTGGCCTATATGAGCACCAGCGCCAGTGCATCAACAGTTTTTGGGTGGTTCCAGAACTTGACCAGTTCCAACCTTCTCATTACCTGGATTTCCATCGACATCAACCACATTGCACTTCAAAAAGCCTTGAAAGCACAAGGATACAGCAGAGACGATTTGCCGTATAAAATGCCGTTTGCCGATTACGGAGCATGGATCTCTTTGGCCTTCTTCATACTCCTTCTTTTGACCGGCGGGTACTCGAATTTCTTGAAGGGCAACTTTGACATTTCGTCTTTCTTCAGCGCCTACTTCGTGATCCCCCTCTATGCCGTTTTGTTCTTTGGCTGGAAGATCTTCCAAAAGACGAGTATCAGGAAATCACTGGAAGTCGATTTGCAGACCCTATTCAAAGACGTCGAGGAAAACCCAGAAGAAATACCCCCGCCAAACAGAGGCTGGAGACTCATCAAGTACTTGTGGGAGTAAACCTAATAGAGAGTTCCGTCAAGGGACTTGCGTTTGAATACACCAATAAAACCTCCACCGACGACCTTTTCCCCCACTTTCGGGCGGCAAATATCCACTCTTTCGCCTGTAGCTTTGGTCTGCACGGAAGTAACGTCCCATTCTCTGGTAGCACCGCCATTTCCAGGTGGAAGCTCAACAGCACGAACCATCATGAGGTCGATTTTCTGCTCAGCCAAGGTTTCTTTGCATTTTAGAAGCTGTGTGATGGAAGGACAAAAAACGACAATTGTGCCTTCGAGTGCTAGCGCTTTGGCCAAATCACCAAGGTATAGCTGGGGATCGGGTAGGTCTAGGAAAGCACCATGGAGAGTGATTCCAGACTTTTCCAAATACGCCAGCGGCGATTCAGAAATGGAAAATTCCACATCTCCCGCAAACCTCCCCCTTTTGTACATCTCCACGTTGTGCTGTCCCATTTCCTGGTGTGTTCTGTTTCTATCGACCGAGTGAAGAATGGCTCCTCGTTGAGAAGGATCCTTGAAATGGCGTGCTAGGGCATTGGCGGCATGTAGATGGTGGCAAATTGCCAAAGTCAAAGACCCATTGCCTGTTCCGGCCTCAAGGTAGTGTTTTTGTTCCTCTCCAAACGGATCTATATCTCCCATTTGGGCTACCACAGCAGCATCCATAGCGTAAATAGGCTGGGCTCTTCGGCGACATAACGAGACATACTCGTCTAAAGTAGGCTCTGTTACGACAAATTTGTCGGCAGCTGGGTTCTTCAGCGATCGGCTTTTCGTAAAAGGAAGGTAGATGCGTTTTGGCTTCCCGATGATGTCGTTGTGACTCAAAGAGCCATTGTGGGTCGTGACGGATTTGTCTTTTTTCAAGGGCACAAGGAAAGCGTGGTCTAGGTTCCGGAGCGGACGGCAGATAGCGACGTCTCCTTCACGGAAGAGGGAACGGAGGAGGGAAGTAGGTCGCATGTGGAGCTTGAGATGTAGGATTATCAAGAGATGGATGCGATGAGGTTGTGAAAAGTGGGGGTCCCGGGGGCAGTTTTGTGGATTGGTAAAGGTGATGGGCAATTGAGTGCAAAGATTCTTTAAAGAAGTTATTCTGGTGAATTTTTGGACTTTTGTGATGTAGTCAGTGAGTCCACTACTGTGCTGTCTATGATGGAGGGTGTCTGTAGAGAGGTGGTTGATATTCTTGAGCTAAACTGCCCTCTGTTTGAATGTCTGGAATTATTCTCTTCATTCTACGTTCAATTATACTATAGATTACTGCTCTCTTCAAAACAAGTTTTTTATCAATCAGATACACCTTGGACACTGTTTTGCAGCCATTTAGTGGTATCACTATCCAAGCCTTAGTACTTCACCATAATCAACATGCCTAAAAGTTCTCAATTTACTATGTTCTTTTGTTTTTGAAAATCGAGTGCTACAAGCCGCTCATGCTGTCTTCCGTTACTATGGTACAATGCTATCTAACTCCTCCTCTGCTTCTTGTGCTTCTTTTCGATCAGCTTGCCGCTGGCACCGATCGTGATGTTCACCTTGGGTGGAACGTCAAAGCCAAACGACTTGGCCACCTTCACCAAATCCAACTTGTCTATCTGGTAGACCGTCTTGAGATGATGCGAGGCGTATGCTTGCAAGTACGATCTGTAGCCGTCCTTGGCACTCTGGTGCAACCAGTAGTTGCTTTTGATCAATTTCGTCAACTGGCTCTGCACGTTGGCGATCTTGTTGGCAGGGAACTCGTACTCGTTCAATGGCACGTTGGCGGCTTTCAAGTATCTCAAGAATCCCAACTCGTTGGGCGTCAAGAACATCAACGACTTGCCCTTACCCTCGGTACCTCTGGCGGTACGACCCACTCTGTGGATGTAGTCTCTGGGGTCATCTGGAGGATCGAACTGGATGATCCAGTCCACAGCAGGAATATCAAGGCCTCTGGCTGCCACATCGGTACAGATCAAGATACCCTGTTTGGCGTTACAGAACTCGAAGAAAGTGTTCGTTCTCTTGGCCTGCTTTTGCTTGCCGTGGAGGTCCAACACAGGCAAATCGATGTAGTTCAACAACTCACCGAAGTACTTGACGCAGTTACACGACGAAAGGAACACAATGATCTTCTTTTTGGCGTTCCTCTTGAGGAAGGAAAATAGAAGCAAGAAACGCTTGTCACTCTCGCAAACGACGTAGCCCTGCTCCAAACCGTCGGCGGTGGAATTAGCGTTCTCTGGAACGACGTTGATGTAGAGGGGACCTGGTCTCAAGGACATTCTGGCCAAATCCTCGACCTTGGTGGTCTGTGTGGCGGAAAACAACATCGACTGTCTGTTTTCGTTGGGCAAGATCTTGATGATCTGCTTCATCTCCTCCTCGAAACCGATTTCCAAGATTCTGTCGGCTTCGTCGATAACCAAGGCCTTCAAGTTCTTGAACACAAAACCTTCCGTGTTCTGCAAGTGATCCAAAAGTCTACCGGGCGTGGCAATCAACAAGTTGACACCCTTCATAAGCTTTTCAGCCTCCTGTCTTCTGTTAGCGCCTCCAATGACAATACCAAACGTCTGACTATGGTGCTCCATGAGCTCCCTGGCAACACCGAAAATCTGAAGCGCCAACTCTCTGGTGGGCGAAATAATAATCACACCAGTACCGTTTCTGGGCTTGAACTTAAGCGAGTACAAGAGCTCGATGGCTGGAATCAAGAAAGCCAACGTTTTACCGGAACCGGTCTTGGCGGCTCCCAACACATCACGACCAGCCAAAAGCGGCGGGATCGTCTTGGCCTGGACCTTGGTCATTTTCGTGAAGTTCATGCCTCTGATGGCTTTCATGGTGGGTTCACTGAGATCGGCCTTTTCAAAGTCCGTGTTCACGTCGTCCTCGGTCTCGTCCTCTGCGGTTTTTTCCACCGTTGGCTTGATGGCCTTATCCTGAGCAGCCTGCTGGGCCTCGGCCTTCTCCTTTTTGGCCTTCTTCTTGGCCTCCTTCTGAGCATCAGGGTCCTTGATGTCCTGGCCCAAAAGCTCAGCTACATCGTCGAATTCGCCATCGACTTCGTCAACGAGCTGGTCGGTTTCGACTTCGTCATGCGTTCTCTTATGAGCCTTCTCGGCGGCCTTGGGCGCCTCCTTCTTCGATTTCGACTTCTTCCCCATACTTAGTGCTAGAAATTTTTAGTGCGATGAGCATCGAAAAGTATGGTATTGGTGTACTGTGCAGGTGGTGGTGGACGTGGTGCCAGGCATACCTGACTTGTGGGGCAAGTAGCGTAAATTGATTTGATTTGATGTAAACATTGGGACTATATATGTTGGGGAGTCGATCTGGCACAAATTGGGCGATTTTTTTGAGGCTTGATGTGCTCTGTGATTGGCTGCGAAAGTGAGCCAGATGGATAGAGTTCATGGGGATAGAGTAACGGTAGAATGTCATTTATCGCTAGATTTTTCAAAATGATGTACTCTAGCTGTTTTTGAGCACCAAAATTACCCAATCCTTTGATGATTCAATGAAGCTTTTGGGTGTTGTATTGTGAGCATACAATGTACTGATAAAAAGGTGTAGTGAAGCGATAAAGTTTCAAAATGTGACATACTCCTTCTTAGGAGATTTCTTTAAAAGCTTTAAGTTGGGCATTCTCGCTTCAATCGGTTCCGATCCCTATTTCAAGTTTCCTTCGCATTTCAACAATGGCTGCAACTCATACGCTATAAACCGTTCAACAGCTGCACCAACATCAAAAGAAAACACATTCCCTTCAAAATCATCAGAACCCTGTCCCTTCTGAAAAACCCTTTTAAACTCCAAAAAAAATCACAAAAATCCCCGGTCTTCACTTGCTGTGGGTGGCAAGGCCTGCAGGAATATCAAGACTCACTCTCGCTACTACTTCGTTGCCCCACTAACTTTTTCACACAGCAATGGCACAGTACTCGGTGACGTCCACCAAGCTGTATATGCAGGCAATGGCCCCCATGATGGAGGTCTTGTCGAAGTTGACGCTTTCCAGCGACAGGAAACACCCGAAAATAGACAAGGAGACCACCACCTCGACCACAGCCAATTCGTTCTTGCTGGATTTCAAGGACATCGACGTGCAGGTGGTCGAAAAACTCACAGATTCAGCGTCAAGTCTGTCAAAAGTCGCCAGGGAAATAGCAGCAGAATGTAAAAGGGTCAGTTTGGCTCGAGGACAGGATGAGAATGATACGATATCCATTGTTAGGGGAGTGGTGGATAGCAACAATACCGACGAGGAGCTCCAGCTGGCGCTTTTCGATATACTTGGATTTGAAGAGTTTGACTTGATTTCCAAGATTGTGCAAAACAGAGATGCACTTCATGAAGAGGAGGAACAGGCTCCCGTTGATCCTGCCTCTTTGAGTCCAGAGGAGAGGGTCAAGCTTCTCGTGAGTAATAGAGAAAAACGCAAGAACGAGCCGTTGCTTCCGAAAATCACGTCGAAAGGCCAATATCCGCATGTGTTTAAGAAACCAGATGTAGGCAATGTCATTGCCATCACAGGAAAGTCATACTCCCTACCTGAGGGTACTACGAGGGCTAGTTTTCCTACCCACGAAGAGCTCATAATACCGTACCCTGAGAACGTCTCGAATAGGTACATCAAAGACTCTCAATTGGTCAAGGTTGCAGATCTAGACTTCTTGTGTCAGGGAACCTTTAACAACTACAAGACATTAAACAAGATGCAAAGTTTGGTGTACCCCGTTGCATACAACACAAACGAGAACATGTTGGTCTGTGCACCCACTGGTGCTGGTAAAACGGATGTTGCATTGCTTACTATTCTTCATACGATAGGCCAGTTTGTGTCGGAAGTTGACGACGGTGTGATCGATGTGGACTACGATGAGTTCAAGATTGTGTACGTGGCTCCACTCAAAGCATTGGCTGCCGAAATCGTGGAGAAGTATGCACAGAAATTGAAGTGGCTTGGAATCACAGTCCGTGAACTTACCGGTGATATGCAACTTAGCAAGGCTGAAATCATGACCACCCAGATTATCGTGACCACGCCAGAGAAGTGGGATGTTGTGACGAGAAAGCTGATTGGTGACGATGACTTGGTAGCCAAGGTGAAGCTTCTTATCATCGATGAGGTCCATCTTCTTCATGAAGATCGTGGTTCTGTTATCGAAACACTTGTTGCTAGAACGTTGCGTCAGGTTGAGTCCACCCAGCAAATGATCAGAGTCGTTGGTCTTTCCGCCACCTTGCCTAATTACATGGACGTTGCTGACTTTTTAGGAGTCAACCGTAACATCGGTATGTTCTTCTTTGACCAGCTGTTCCGTCCATGTCCGCTTAAGCAGGAGGTTCTTGGTGCTAGAGGAAAAGCAGGATCCAAGACTGCCAGAGAAAACATCGACAGAATCTCGTATGACAGACTTCTTGATCACATTCTGGAAGGTCGCCAGGTCATGGTGTTCGTTCACTCCAGAAAAGACACCGTGAAAACATCCAGAACTTATATTTCCATGGCCCAGGCCAAAGGTGAGCTAGGCTACTTTGATGCCTCAGATACGTGTGATTCATACGACCGGTTCAAAAGAGAAATGGGAGCGAAGAACAGAAATAAGGATATGAAGGAACTTTTCCAATACGGCTTTGGCGTACACCATGCCGGTATGCTTCGATCTGACAGAAACCTTACCGAAAAGATGTTCTTGAGCGGAGCCATCAAGGTGCTTGTCTGTACTGCCACATTAGCCTGGGGTGTCAATTTACCAGCTGCAGTGGTCATTGTGAAGGGAACTCAGGTTTATGATGCAAAACAAGGTGGCTTTGTTGATTTGGGAATCTCAGACGTTATCCAGATTTTTGGACGTGCTGGTAGACCCCAGTTCGAGAAGTTCGGTACAGGTATCTTGTGTACCACCAGTGATCGTCTTGACCACTATGTTTCGTTACTTTCTCAGCAACATCCTATTGAATCGAAGCTTCTGGCAAAGCTCATCGATAATTTGAATGCAGAAGTGTCCCGAGGCACAGTCACCACTATAGACGAAGGTGTGCAGTGGCTTGGGTATACTTTCATGATGGTGAGAATGAGACAGAACCCATTTGCATACGCCATTGAATGGCGTGAACTTGAAGAGGATCCAACTCTCACCATGAGGCGAAGAAAGATGATTATAGACGCTGCCAGAAGACTTCATTCCCTTCAAATGATTGTATTTGATGAAAATTCAGGCGCCTTGGTTCCGAAGGATTTGGGAAGAATTGCATCGGACTTCTACTTGCTCAACAACTCCATCGAGGTGTTTACGCAAATGCTCAATCCTCTCGCAACAGAGGCTGATTTATTGTCCATGATCAGTATGAGCAGTGAATTTGACAATATCAAATTTAGAGAAGAGGAGAAGGTCGAGTTGACGAAGCTTGTGGAAAACGAAACTCCTTGTCAAGTCGGAGGCGAAGCTGAATCTGCTCCTTGGAAAACAAACATTCTTCTCCAGGCATTTGTCTCTCAAACGCCACTCAAAGATTCAGCATTGATTTCAGATCTGAACTACGTTGCCCAAAACGCTGCAAGAATCTGCCGTGCTTTGTTCTTGATAGGTATCAATCGTCGTTGGGGTGCATTTTCAAAAGCCATTCTTTCAGTCTGCAAATCGGTCGATAGACGTATGTGGGCCTTTGACCATCCTCTTGCCCAGTTTGACCTTCCTGAGCATGTATTGAAGAACATTCGTGCAAAGAACCCTTCAATTGAGACCCTTCGAGACCTTTCTGCACCAGAGTTGGGTGACTTGGTTCACAACTCCAATTCAGGCAAGACCTTGTACAGATTGATCAGCAGATTCCCGTATTTGGAGATCGATGCCGAAATCTTCCCTATTACCAGCAACGTCATCAGAATGAATGTGGTATTGGATCCTGACTTCGTATGGGACGAACGGTACCACGGCAACGCTCAGTTCTTCTGGGTGACTGTGGAAGAGTCAGAGGACACGAAGATTCTCCATGTTGAAAAGTTCATTTTGCGCCGCAATTCCATGAAGAGCCCTCATGAGCTTGACTTCATGATTCCTCTTTCAAATCCACCACCAGCTCAAATCGTGGTCAGGGTGCTTTCCGATACATGGATTGGTTCGGAGTCGCTGCACTCGGTCTCTTTCCAGCACCTCATCAAACCTACAAACGAAACAGTCAGAACAAATCTTCTTCGTTTGCAGCCTCTTCCTATCACAGCATTGCACAACGAAAAAATTCAGTCTGTCTATGACTCGAAGTTCCGTTACTTCAACCCAATGCAGACCATGACGTTCCATTCGCTTTACAACACAAACTCCAATGTTTTCGTTGGTTCACCCACTGGTTCAGGTAAAACGGTGGTTGCTGAATTGGCGATCTGGCATGCTTTCAACGAATTCCCTGGCTCCAAGATTGTCTACATTGCTCCTATGAAGGCCTTGGTGAGGGAAAGAGTTGAAGATTGGAGAGCCAGAATCTGTAAGCAAACAGGTCACAAACTCGTCGAGTTGACTGGTGATTCTTTGCCTGAAGCAAAGGAGGTCAGAGAGGCAGACATTATCATCACCACGCCCGAAAAGTTTGACGGTATCTCTCGTAACTGGCAAACCAGAAAATTCGTGCAAGAAGTCTCGTTGGTTATCATGGACGAAATCCATCTCTTGGCCAGTGACAGAGGTCCCATTTTGGAGATGATTGTTAGCCGTATGAACTACATTTCGTCTCAAACAAAGAAACCTATCCGTCTTTTGGGTATGTCTACGGCTGTTTCTAATGCGATTGACATGGCTGGTTGGCTCCGTGTGCGTGAAGGTCTTTTCAACTTTCCACAATCTGTTCGTCCTGTTCCGTTACAGATGTACATCGACGGATTCCCAGATAATCTCGCCTTCTGTCCGTTGATGAAGACGATGAACAAACCAGCTTTTATGGCAATTAAGCAACACTCGCCAACAAAGCCTGTATTGATTTTCGTTGCCTCTCGTCGTCAAACAAGACTCACAGCTCTCGACCTTATTCATTTGTGCGGTATGGAGCTGAACCCAAGACGTTTTGTCAATATGGACGACGTGGAGCTCGCTGATGTGTTGGAAAAGGTGAAAGACGAAACATTGAAATTGTCCTTGCAGTTTGGTATGGGTTTGCATCACGCCGGTTTGGTGGAATCCGATCGTCAAATAGCACACAAGCTTTTTGAGGCTGGAAAGATCCAAATTTTAATTGCAACTTCCACCTTGGCCTGGGGTGTCAACTTGCCGGCTCACTTGGTCATCATCAAGGGTACCCAATTCTTTGACTCCAAGATCGAGGATTATAGAGATATGGACTTGACCGATATTCTTCAGATGATGGGAAGAGCTGGTCGTCCTGCTTTCGATACAAGTGGTATCGCCATAGTCTACACGAAGGAGGCCAAGAAGGTGTTCTATAAGCATTTCTTGAATATTGGGTTTCCCGTGGAGTCATCCTTGCACAAAGTTTTGGATAACCATATTGGTGCAGAAATTGCTAGTGGAACAATTGCAACAAGACAGCAGGCTCTTGATTTCTTGACATGGACATTTTTGTACAGACGTGCCCACAATAATCCAACCTATTACGGTATTGAAGATTTGAGTGACGCTGGTATCTCGAAGTATTTGGGTGGTCTTATTGACGATGCCATTGACAACCTTACGGAGTCTCGCTGTATCACACATACTGGTAAAGACGAGCTTTTGCCATCTCCATTCCTTCAGGTATCCTCATACTACTACCTTTCTCATCTTACTATTCGAACAATTTTGGGTAACATCAAGAAGGATTCCTCTTTCCAGGAATGTTTGAAATTGTTGTGTCTCGCTACAGAATACGATGAGCTTGCTACGAGACATGGCGAAGAGCTCATCAATATGGAAATGTCGCAAGCAATGAGATATCCTGCTGAGGATATGGAGAAAGAGTTCATTTGGGATCCACACGTGAAAGCATATTTGTTGATCCAGGCTTTCATGAGTCGGGTCGATCTTCCCATCGCCGATTACGCTCAAGACACCGTTTCCGTTTTAGACCAAGCGTTGCGTATTTTGCAGGCCTACATTGACGTTGCCTCTGAGCTTGGATACTTGAATGTTGTGTTGACTTTTGTGAAGTTGATGCAGTGTATCAAGCAGAGAATCTGGTACGACGAGGATCCTGTCACTGCCTTGCCTGGCTTGGGAGTGCAAAAGAGGAAAGAAAGCAACCTTGATCTCAAGAAGGTTGGAACTTCAAGTAAGGGCGCCCTCTTCAAGTTGGCTGAAAAGCTTGGTGTGGAGGACTTTGACGAAAAGGACGGAGTCAAGGAATTCGTCCGTATTGCCTCTCATTTGCCCACTGCTGGTCTTAAGGTGGAGCAAAATACTCCAGATACATTGAAGGTGGAGCTTGAGCACGACAACTTTCCTCTAAACAAGGAGTTCAAGATGTACGCTCCACACTTCCCCAAGCCGCAGAGAGAGTCGTGGTTTGTGATTATATGCGACCAGAAGAAAGAGGAGCTCTTGCTTATCAAAAGAGCCTCCCCTAGACTCCACGGAAAGAAAGGTAAGATCGCCTGTTCTTTGGAAATTTTCGATGATATGCGTGATCAGGATGTGGTGGTCCTTTGTGTCAACGATGCCATGGACATCAGCTACGAGACTACGCTCACTTTGCGCTAACGAATGATAATTAATGTACAAGATGCAATGAAGGTGTGGTTTACTCGAAGAACTCGTCTTCCTCCTCTTCCTGTGGTTTTTCCTGTGGGGCATCGATCTCCTCCTCTTGCTCTGGCAAGGTTGCATTTTCCACCTGCACGGTCTTACCGGCCAAGACGTCTTCAAATGTGAAAGGTAGCTTTCCACTGTCGATGAGCTCCTCCATCTTCTTACGGTATGCTAGTCTTCTTTCCTCGGTCCGCTGGGCTCCCTTTTTGACATTGTCGTCCTGTTTGGCCTCAGCGCTGAGCTCTGGAGGATACAAGGAAACGTATTTTTCAGATTTGGGAAACATGAACACGTAAGCAGTGTCGATCTGGGCGTGCTTCAACACCTTTCTGGCTTTCTTGGTCTCCTTCTTGGACTCCGATTCGACAGCCTCATTGTGGGCCTTGGTGGCTTGTTTGAGCCTTCTGATGGCCTTCTTTCTTTCAAAGAAACGGACCATGTGGTACTTCTTTGCACGCTCCTTAGTCTTCAAATTGAACTGTCTGTGCTTCAAATCAACCTTCAAGGCCTTCAAGGCTCTTTCCTTTTCGATTCTGATATCGGCGGGGAGATCGTCCTTTTGGAGCAAATTTTCTATATTTCTGATTTGCTTCTTGGCACGAACAGAAGAGCCGAAAACATCGCTGAGATCGGTGTTGTACCGGTCATACCGACCGTGAGCTTTAGGCATGTTCTGATAATTCAAGCTGCGATGCCTGCGAAGAGCTTGATGCCTGGGGTTTGTGGTGCGTATGCAGGACGCTGGTGGTGAAGCAGAAAGGTCACTGAATTTCAATGAGGATCCAAATTGGAGGTGGAATTTTGGGGAAGGCCTTTTGCTGTAAGTTATTAAAGCAGCTTGCTGTTCTTTGTTTTAGACGAATCGCCCTGAAACTAAGGTATAGAAGGCTTAGGCCCAAGTGATAGATACTGATATCTACAGACCAAAGTCGGAGGAATCCTGTCATTGCAATAAGGGTTCCGTTCGAAATCGAAGTATACCACCAATGAAAAGAAAATATTCAAATTCCCCCAGATCACATTGTTCCTCCTTCTTGGTGTCTTGAATTTTCCAGATTTCGCAGCCAAATGAACATCCACCCTCCTCCGTAAATCAACACTACCCCTCAACAGAATTCTTTCCTAAAATCATATAAAGCTGCTGTAATCACCATTCCAACCCACCTTCAAAAACCTCCCTAATAAACCTCCCCCTTGGCAGGAATCCTCCAAACTGGTCAACCCACCTTCCTGGTGTACGGGTGCACCACTGCACTAGCATCGAAAATCTACACCCATCCTCCTACACCAAACCACTAATTCAGATCCAATGGGAGCCCTCGAAAAGATCGCCCAAATCCAGGAGGAGCTTGCACGTACCCAGAAAAACAAAGCCACAGAGTACCACATTGGTCTCTTAAAGGGTAAGCTTGCCAGGTTCAGAAGAGAGCTTCTAGAGCCTCAACCTGGTGGATCATCTGGAGGAGGCCAGGGTTTTGAAATTGCCAAAGCGGGCGATGCCAGAGTGTCGCTTATTGGTTTTCCTTCTGTGGGTAAATCCTCTTTTCTTTCACAGGTCACAAACACGAAATCGGAGGCTGCCAACTACGAGTTTACCACTTTGACCTCAGTTGGAGGAATCCTAGAGTACAACGGAGCCGAGGTGCAGATTGTGGATTTGCCAGGTATCATCAAAGCGGCTTCTCAAGGTAAGGGTCGTGGCCGTCAGGTCATTGCTGTGTCGAGAACGTCGGATCTTATATTGATGGTTTTGGATGCAACCAAAGGTGGAGAGCAAAGACAGATTTTGGAGAACGAATTGGAGACCATGGGCATTCGTTTGAACAAGGAGAGACCCAATATCTCGCTCAAGGTGAAGAAGACCGGCGGTGTCAAGTTGAACTCGATCACGCCGCCCAAGTACCTCGATGAGAAGATGGTGACTGCCATTTTGAAAGACTACAAGATCCACAATGCCGATGTGCTCGTGAAGGACGAAAACGTGACTGTGGACGACTTTATCGACATCATCAACGACCAGCATATCTCCTACATCAAGTGTCTCTACGTTTACAACAAGGTGGACGCTGTGTCTCTAGAAGAAACGGACCGTTTGGCCCGCGAGCCCAACACGGTTGTGATTTCGTGTGAGTTGCAATTGGGCATTGACGACTTGAAGGAGGAGATCTGGCGTCAATTGGGTCTTGTGAGACTTTACACGAAGAGAAGAGGCGTGATGCCCAACTTTGACGACCCCATGGTTGTTCGTGCCAATTCCACGATTTTGCAGGTTTGTGATGCCATCCACAGAGAAATGAAGAATCAGTTTAGGTATGCGTTGGTGTGGGGCTCTAGTGCCAAGCACTCGCCACAGAAATGTGGCCTTCAGCATCCGGTCAACGATGAGGACGTTGTGCAAGTTGTGACGAAGTGAGACAATTTCGTTGTAATGTTAATTGAGGGTATGAAAGTTGGCTTTCACCTGGAGCTATTCACAGCAGGTAGTCGGTGGAATGGAATTGAGAGATGCCGTAGTCGAAGGTTAAGTCAAAGGTGTATCAGGGGTTTTTGATCCTAGGCGCTGAATTGGTCCAACGTGCTTAGATAATGCCGACGCCGCTTCTTGATCTCAGGTACTGAATTGGTCCATTACTGCTTAGAGAATGCCGTCGCCTAGGACCACTAAATGTTCTCAGAGTTGAACAGAAAGATATATAAAAAAGACGAATTGCATAATTGCCTTTGTAGCAGTTGGGGAATCAAGGCCCGTCTCCTTTTGTAATCCTACTTTCCACAAATTGGCTTGTTACGTAAATACTTCATTCTCACATTCTCCCTAATTGCATGTCCTATTTCGCAGCCATCTCTGGATCCCATAGTAGACCTACTGTACCGACTATCTAGCTCCAATTACAACTTTTTAAATCGTTCTTTTAAAATTGATCTTCGAAAACCTTTAAATTCAAATAGTCTCAAATTTAAATAGTCTTATTTTTTTTCATTGACAATTCACCCCCTCCTCATCCTCCTACTACAACAGCTCTAGTGCGCGTCTGATATCAACATGGACTCTGCAGAAGAGGATCACGGTCCTGAGGTTTTCGAGACCAGCGACGTCGAAAGCGAAAGCGGAACCAATCATGTTGAAGAATCCAGTGAAAGCATTGCACGTGATGCCTTGGCCCCGCCTCTGGACGCCGTTTCCAGCTATGAGTCTTCAGCTCTCAGTGACGAATTGACCTTGGTTGATTTCCTGGGCAATGTGGCGAGGCGGTTGGCCCAAAGTGGCTATAATGTGGAGAAGCTTGGAGAAACGAGGAAACAGAAAATGGCCAGAATTGCTAGAGAGCTTGAAGAGTTGGAGAAAGAGGAGCCTTCTGAAGTTGAGGTATTGGCTGGAAAGTTCCGTGAATTGAAAGCTGGGGACGAGAAAAACGGTGATTTTGATCTTGGTGTGGGAGACCTTTTCAAGAATATCGAGTCTGCCTTGAAGAAAAAGTCAAAAAAGGAGCATTCTGAGTCGAACGAGGTGCTACGATTGGAAAAGAGGATAGCCGAGTTGGAGGAGGCCATTGGGTCCAATGAGGACACACCCACAAGCATCAGAAACATCTTGAACAACGCCAGTCGAAAGGTGAACGTCTTGTACGATCACGAGGAGGAGATCGCTGCTGTCCAGACCGAAATCAAGCTGCTCAGCAAAGATATGGAGGCTTTGGCTGCCAACAGGCGTATGGCTCTGATTTCAAGCGGCTCTAAAGAGCCTCCTGTGGTGCCAATCAGCTTTGATCATAAAGTGTCGTCTTTGTATGACCGGTTGGGTGAGTTTGACAGAGTCAACACCATAGTGCCTCTGATGATAGCCAGGCTACATTCGCTCAACAGTGTTCATGCAGAGGGCGGGCATGCTGTGGAATGTGTGGCTACGTTGGACAAGACATTGAGCAGTTTGGCGCTGGATATGAAGAAGTGGGACGAATCGGTGGACAAGATAGACAAGAGTCTTGTGGAGCAGAGCGAGGCGTTTGAGAAGAACGCCGAGGTGTTTCAGAAGAAGATGGAGGATGTGATGAGTCGAATTGACCAGATCGAAGCGAGGAAGGGTTAATAAGGGCAGGTTGTGAGTCCATCAAGACATCGATTGTTCGAATGAGACTGGTTGGTTTGAAAGGTCCATGAGTGGCGTCTACTACAATTGAATTTCTGGCCAGGAACAGAAAATCTTTGTTTTCAACGACAACAATAAAGTCTTCTCATCTCAGTTCATCACTTCCTGAACCTTATCAGCCTGGGTCGCTCGCTGAAAAACACCCGTTGAGTGCGCTGCCGTTCATGTATATTTCCAGATTTATGCGCCATGTACGGCTTGACACAAAACCGTCGATCGTTCACAACTCAATGTTCATGTGGGACGGTCAAAATTGAGGAATCTTGAGGTTATCAGATTTTGGAAGGATGGGTGCAACCTACCAGAATCTGCCATTTCACCCTGTTGGTTAGCATCCAGCGTCAGGGTTGTCTATGCAAGCTTCACGGAGAGGAATCTCTTCGAAACTCTATTTGAAAAGTCAATCTGAACCTTCAGCATCACATCCAATCCAATGCCTCCTATTAAAGAGGCTATTTCACGGTTGCCTGATCTTCTATGCTGGATCCTCCATATTGCCTCTCCACGTTGAACCCCTCTCTGGCCTTCCAATCCTCCATTGCTCCCCCCTCAATTCAAACTCCCATATAAACAAAACTCCAAATACCAGGCGATTTTTCAAATCTTTGAAATGCCTCATAAAGGCCCCGGAGCGGCTGCTAAGTCGCCTACTCCTGCCCCCTCGCTATACCCTTCCCGCGCAATCCCTCGCTCTTCCCTTCCCCCACACGCAGGCCTTCGGCCCAGCAATATTTAAGAAGTCCGATCCCCACGCAAAAACTCCACATACTTTTCCCTGAAACACCAAAATGCTTCGTTTGCGTACCGCCCGCAGCCTCGCCATCAGGGCAAGACCCGCCACTGCTTCCCTCTCTGCCCGCCTTGTGCCCAGAATGAGCAAGATGCCTGTCAGAGCTGCCTCTCAATTGGCACACGTCAAGGTTCCACCTTTCACCAACGAACCTGTCAAGGAGTTCTCCTACGACCACCAGAAGGACTGGGACCTTTTGCGTGCTTCCCTCACAAAGCTCACTGACAACGGACCATTGGACATTCCATTGATCATTGGCGGTGAGAAGGTTTACGACAGACCTACTTTCACCCAGGTGAACCCTGCCAACCACACCCAGGCATTGGCTACCGTGCGTTCTGCATCTCGTGAGGACGTCAAGGAGGCAATTGCTGCTTCCAAGGCTGCTAAGGACAAGTGGGCCTCCATGCCATGGGCTGACAGAGCCGGTGTGTTTATCAAGGCCGCTGAGCTCGTCTCCACCAAGTACCGTTACGACATGTTGGCTGCTACCATGCTTGGCCAGGGTAAGAACGTGTTCCAGGCCGAAATTGACTGTGTTGCTGAGTTGATTGACTTCTTCAAGTACAACGTCAAGTACGCCGAGGAGATGTACAAGGTTCAGCCATGCGAGACCGCCCCAGGCGTCTGGAACAGAGCTGAGTACAGACCATTGGAGGGTTTCGTGTACGCCGTCACCCCATTCAACTTCACCGCCATTGCCGGTAACTTGGTTGGTGCTCCAGCCTTGATGGGTAACACCGTTTTGTGGAAGCCATCCAACTCCGCCGTCTTGTCCAACTACCTCATGTTGACCATCTTGGAGGAGGCTGGTTTGCCAAGAGGTGTGATCAACTTCATCCCCGGTGAGCCAGTTGAGATCTCCGAAGAGATCATCAACCACGAGGACTTTGCTGCTTTGCACTTCACCGGTTCTACCGATGTCTTCAAGAAGTTGTACGGCCAGATTGGCTCCAACTTGTCCAAGGAGCTCTACAGAGAGTACCCACGTGTCGTTGGTGAGACCGGTGGTAAGAACTTCCACTTGGTTCACAACTCTGCCAACGTCGACCACGCCGTGTTGTCGACTTTGAGAGGTGCTTTTGAGTTCCAGGGCCAGAAGTGTTCTGCCAACTCCAGACTCTACATTCCTGAGTCCATTTCTGAGGAGTTTTTCACCAAGTTGCAGGGTGCCATGGAGACTATCACCATTGGCTCCACCACCGACACTGCCGGCTTGAACAACTTCATGGGTCCAGTCATCCACGAGCAGTCCTTCGAGAAGTTGAGCGGCGTTATTGAGCAGGCCAAGAACGACCCTGACTTGAAGATCATCCTGGGTGGTGAGACCGACAAGCTGACTGGTTTCTTTGTCCAGCCAACCCTCATTCAGACCACCAACCCAGACCACGAGTTCTTGAAGAGAGAGTTCTTCGGTCCTATTGTCACCGCCTATGTCTACAGAGACAGCGACTACGAGGCCATCATGGAGAAGATTGACCGCACCACCAAGTATGGCTTGACCGGTGCTGTGTTTGCCAGAGACAAGGATGCTGTGAGACTTGCTGAGGAGAAGTTGCGTTACGCTGCCGGTAACTTCTACATCAACGACAAGTGCACTGGTGCCGTTGTTGCCCAGCAGTGGTTCGGCGGTGGCAGAATGTCCGGTACTAACGACAAGGCTGGTTCTGGTAACCTTTTGAGCAGATTTGTGTCTATCAGAAACATCAAGGAGAACTTCCAGGAGTTGACGGACTACAAGTACCCATCCAACATCCACTAATTGTATATATAAAAGAAATGGAGAGACGTATGTTAGCTTGCAATGTCAAATGTATTCGTTATCGTAATTATGCTGAGGGTGAAATGTGTATAGGCAGCCATGCTTGTTCTGTTTTGAGCGCAATTGGTTCTTCACTTGAAGGGCTTATTCTGTATGTGGTCCTGCTGCTCTTAAAGAGATAATCTTTCCAAATTGGATGAGTCTCTTTTGCCAATCCAATTGAGTCAAAAACCGTAGTCAGTAATAGCAATTATCTTTCATGCTCCATCAGAGCACACCAATTTAAATTTTCCTGTTGCTTGAAATGTAACTCAGAGTCCCTTGAATCAATTGAGTCTTCTTGTATAATTCTGCCGTTGCGGTTCAGTACCTTCTAATTGAGTCAAAGTAAAAACCGGTATAGTCTTAAAATAGCAATTCTCTTTCATGCTCCCTCGGAGTAGTCAATTCCAAAATCCCTTGAATCAATTGAGTCCTCTTGTATATATCTGCCGTTGCTGAAAAATTCCACCCTTCCTCACCTCTCGACCCATCTAGTACCTGTTGAGCAATCTACCCAAACCACCGCAAACATTGCACAAATCGGAATCCAACAAAAACCACGTTTGGCCTGTTCCCCTGCAATTGCCACAAAGCGTTCCACCTAAACGAGGATCTCCAGGAGGCACTCTCAATGGCATCTGAGGAGCAGGAGGCCCAAAAGCACCAGGCATCTGCATAGGCGCCACCACCGGCTGTGAATAGTACGGTCCGCTGAGTCCGGGAGGATTTATAGTGTAATTGTTCCTTTTAGCAAACCGCTCGTAGCAGTCTTTGCATGTCTTGCCGTTCTTGAACTTGACGCCGTGGTTGTAGCATTTTTCACAGATGAAGTTCTTGGGGTACCTGAAAGGAAGCAGCTGGTTGGGATTCCAGGCGTTGTTGCGCAAGTAGAACTGGCGCCAGCAGTCTAGGCACATCTTATTGTCCTTCTTGTAGCCTGTGTTCTTGCACTTCTTGCAGAAGTAGCGTTTTGGAAACTCAAAGGGAAGATTTGTGTTGTTCGAGTAGTTGACCGAGCCCAGGTAATTCTGTGTTTTTGGTGGAGCATGGGCACTTTGGGAAGTCTGGGGTCTGGGCTGATACTGGGATTCAGACTTCAGAGGCCGTGGAGGAGCCTGAGGAGGTCTTTGAGGAAGTGGAGGTTCTGCAGATCCCGGCAGGGCTATAGCCTCGTGGTATGAAGGAGGCGGTGCCTCGCCTGCGTCGTCTTTTGGAGTATACGAAGCTTTGGACATGGTGGTGTCAAAAGAGATGATCGTGATCTGAATTAGTCTGGGGACTGGCACGTGATGCCAAGCCGGCTATCGAAGGACAAGATAATACGAGACGGAGGAAGGGGGATCAATGGGGAGGTAGAGAAGGGAAGGTGAATTTGTGTGTTTTTGGTGATTTTTGGTGTTTTTGCTGTGGTGGAAAATGGATGAGGTTTCGTGGATCGGATCATTGTGGCTATGCGAAAAAGCTAAATGTGGGGGACCGAGAGATGTGGTGATTTAGAGGTGGTTTCAAAAAGTGGTCAAAAAAGTGGTTTTCCAGTAATTGGTTAAATTTGTAGGAAGCCGTATTCGCCTCCCTTTACGACGCCTGGTTACGGATTGTTGGGCTGATATGTATAAATACGGTGGAAGGCTCCATCGGAGTAAGGTCATGCATCCTCCGAGCGACATTTACGGAAGTCTACGTCTGCTTGCTGGTGCATGTCACATGAGCGTTTCAAGAATTTAGTTTAATCAAAGTTCAATTTAAATCTCCACTTCATAGCCGTCTGATTGGCTGAAAATTCCGAAACCGGTTTCACCGTTTGTGGCGCAGGCTTTCTGGTTAAGCGAGAGTGGGTATTGCACAAAGCCCCATCGTTGCAAAGCTCATGCAGCAGGAAACCTCCTTTAGTTCTCATGTACCCAGCCGCATGCAATGTATAATTATTTTTTAGTCGAAGCGGAAGAATGTTGGCTCTGCAGCGACATTCCGTTGAGCTGATGGAGAAGTTTGTGTAATGGTTGGTGAAGATTTATTGATGTATAGTGATGAGATGAGGGTGTCACAGTGGTCGTTTTTTCAAAAACCCACAAATCAAAATGTCGACTCTCTCCATTCAAAAGACCATAATGCAGACTCCATCTCCACAGAATACTTCTCCAGCTCTTCCTTGCATCTTCTCCGGAATGGCTGCGAAAGGCGCTAAAGTTCAACGCATGCCGATGTACCAGAGCTAGCATTACCTGTGAATTATTAATGTACGTGAAGTCGACTGTGTGGAGCCCATGCAATTCGTTATTTTTTCTTCTCTGCTTATTTTGCGTTGTGGCTGCTTCAGCCTTGTGGTTTCTTGCACTGAAAGCACACTAAACGTACGCCACTTGTGAAATTCCTCCAATTGATTAAAATGAAATTCAAATAAGCCAGCCAAACCGTCTCCTAGTGCCTCACTGTGGCAAAACACGCCTGGTGGTCCAAGCCTTGTTGTATCACGTGCCCAACACGCTGATACTACTACTGCAATTTTCCATCCACGTCTCACAAATCAACCATGCTTTTCGATTCTACCATGTGGCTCACAGAGCGCCAAAGTATGTTTCAATTTTCATAAGAATTTATTCAGTGTTTTCTAACCGCAGAGTACGGTGTTGTGCTGACCGCCGCCGGCGTGGTGTTCTTCATCCTCGGAATCTTGACCTTCTTTGATTCCAGTCTTTTGGCCATTGGAAACCTTCTTTTCGTGATTGGCGTCATTCTCATCATCGGGCCCACGAGAACCATATACTTTTTCGCCAGACCCACGAAAATCAGACCCACGATATTTTTCTTTGGCGGCATCACCTTGATTTTGTTCAAACACTCGTTCATTGGTTTCATTGTGGAAGGAGTGGGCATTCTCTCGCTTTTCGGCGACTTTTTGGGTACTATCGTGCAATTTTTGAGAAACGTCCCTGTGTTAGGGGGTATATTGAGACATCCAGCCGTGGAGCCTTACGTGAACCGTTTCGCTGGTCTCGACACTCTTCCCGTTTGAGCGAAGCATTTGAAGGATCTAAGTCATCAGAACATTTCTACGTGTATCTTATTTATTCATGCTGGGATTGTCTATAAAGGGATCATAGCATCGACGGAACGAGGCCTAATCTTGCCGCAAGGCCGTCCATGATCAGAAGCACGTAATCGCATGCCTTGATGCCGTGGTTCAAGTCGTACCGCGAGGCAAAGCAGATTTCGTTGTTGTTTAGATTGACAGTGTGGATCTCCAAAACCGAGCTGGAAAGCGTGTTGGTGAAAATGGCCTCGAACATCTGGGTGGTGGCCTTGAACAACGGTAACCAAAGAACCGGCGCCGACAGCCCCTCCACAGGACATAGACACGAGTGGGCCGTGAGATCCAAGTTATCCATTTTGTTATTGCCTTCTCCAGGCGCAAATGTAATGTATAAATCCGCCCTGACTTGGGTTACTGCATTTCTGTTTGGCACCGATAAAAACGTAACCAGTGGGTCTGCAAGAAGCGACTGGCGTAGACGATGTAGAAGAATCTGTGGATGGTAAAGAAGCGCTATGTGCTGATCCGGCAGCCCTATGGTAGCCCTTATACCGTGCTGATTCTGAGGAAAGTCAGGGTGCTCTGTTCTTCCCAAACTGTGTATTTGAATTGAGCCGAGAAACGACAATGCTGACTGCAAGACGCCCCGGAAGAATGCGTTTTTGAAAAAGTCTCCGTGCACAAGCCGCTGGTTGGACACTGTGCTGATTCCACAGTAGGGCTGACTCGTGAGATTGGTGTCTAGTGATTCCACCACAATGATCTTCAAATTTCGGGAAGGAAAGTAAAGGCGTAGCGAGGCCGCCACAAGGTACGCCGCTAGCGCCTGGCTGTGGGATACGACGACCGTGGGCATTGAAAGAAAGGAGTAGGTTGACTCTTTTGTTATCTATAGTTTCGGAGAAGTGCGAAGCCGTCTAGGTCCAGAAACGGGAATATTGTGACACTAAGGCGCCGAGGCGTTTTTGGAGGTTTTTGGTGGACGGTGAAGGGAGGGTAACATTGGGGATTTGTTGATGTTTTGTTGTGTGTTTGTAGGAGATCAGGGTATTTAAAGTGCTGCAGCTTTTGCGTTTTGCACCCATTTTGACAGCCTCTCGCGCATTCCAGTAACTTTGGTGAATTAGCCAGGCAGGGTGTAGAGGGATGAAGATTACGAAGAAAAGACAAAAAGGATGGGTAATTGTATTTTCGATGAGTGAGTTTCTTCATGAATTGGAGAATTGATTGAAATTTGGGAGTAAAGAGCTTGAAAGAGTTTTGAACTTTCAGCTTCAAAAAGACCCAATTCTGTGGCACCAGAGCAACGCAAGCAATTGAGTCCTTGTTAAGGCTTCAGGTAACAGCTAGGCCATCACTAGTAGGATGAAGATCCTTTTTTCTAGGTATTGTGGGATTATAAACCCTATTCTAATGTTTTAAACTATTCAAACGACGATATCTCAGGGTACAGAGACAATCCGGCTTTTTGGGCGTCGGTACCAAATTCAGTGATACTCCAATTATCTACTCTAAGACTCCCAAAGTCATAACTTCAAGGTAATTTTGGTCACGTGACGCATACACTGCATATATTACCCGCACTCACACACTTCCAAGTTATCCGAGATAGTTTAGTGGCTAGAATTACCGCTTGTCGCGTGGTAGACCGGGGTTCAATTCCCCGTCTCGGAGGATTTCTTCGCGCAAGTGGTTTAGTGGTAAAATCCAACGTTGCCATCGTTGGGCCCCCGGTTCGATTCCGGGCTTGCGCATTTTTTTGGCTTCTCCACATATCGCGATGCTCATCGTAACTCAAAACTACAACTTTAATCTCCATGTCCAAAGTGAACAGAAGAAAGGAAATCAAAGAAAAGGAGGCGTTTCAACTCCGATTTCAACTAGCACTCAACGAGTCCAACAACACAGTCGCCAATTGGCTACCGCAGCAGAATGAAGAAACAGAGAAACCGTCAGGGGATGATTTTCTAAACCTCCCGATTCTCACGAATGGCCTGGGTCTCTACGAGCTAGAAGAGGACGACGAGGCGCAGAAGACAATTTCGGATTTCGTCAACCCGGAGAAAGACCCCCAAAAGGTGAAAGTACAGGAGAATCGCCAAAACCAGGCAGGCACCAAAGCCATGACCGCCTTGATCAACAAGATGAGAAACGACAGTCGTGGGCGGGCCAATAACAAAGACGGACAAGGCTCCAAGAAAGTTGGGAAAAAACGGAGTCAGTTCTTGGGGGAAGTCGGGAAGAAAGAAACGCAGAAGCAGAAGCAGAAGCCTGTGAAGGTGGAGGTGGACCTGGACAGTGACGAGGAGGAGAGGAAGATCAGCGCACAAAGAAGTACGAAAAAGGCCACCAAAGTGTCCAAGCGTCCCTTCTGATGGAAATGGAAGGTGGGATACACGGACCAACAAAGGGGAGGGTCTTGGCCCTGCTGGATAAGAGACTCTCGAGAGTCGTGTGTTGCATGAATGTGGAAGATGATTTAGAAATGAGTTAGTCATGACAACAAGGCAATTGTGAGAGTCATTTGTCGCCACCCAGCATGACTACATTGCATCAAGGAAGGCCCTGGGGCTTCTCCACCACAATAAGGCCACCACGCAGGCAGCTTTACAATGTAGCGTCGTAATGGCACGATTTGGCGAAGACCCCACAGAAAAAGGTGGATGTCCACAATACAATGGGCCTAGTTACGGTAGTCGGATTTGGCGCTTCCTCCGCGACAATATGGCGCCATTGTGATGGCACGGTGGTTTCCCTTGGCATCTAGGTGCCATGATAAAGTGGGCTCGGTTCAGCCATTGTGGGATTCTCGAGGAGGAGTGTTCAATGCCCGAGACGGTTCTTTAAGGGACATTGTTGCGCTGCAAGAGAACAGGCTTCTGGTTTTCGACGAATCAACACAAAAAGCGGGGGTGTTCTTGCCTAACCCGCTGGGATGGTTCGAAACAGGCCAGCACAAAATAGTCCCGAAGGGTAAAGTGGCAGGGTCTTTGCTTGGCGGTTTTCGCTAGAGGTCGCTTTTGTGGCATTTCCTGGAAAGGCCTCTTTTCCGATTCTGGTGCTATTCACCCGGGGTTAAATCTTGACTAATGCCTTTCCAGGGTTCACAGGGCCATTGAATGTCGGAACAGTGTTGGGCAGCATGTGAGGCCCAGTGTATTTAGTGGAAGACGCATCTGGAGGTGCATTCATCCCGCTTCAATGGCAAGCTGCACAGGAAGCCTAGATGAAAGTTCATTGGCAGCGGCGAAGAAGTTTAACCTTAAGTCGTTTGCTTGGGAGCCAAAGCTTATTCTTGAGACAAGCGGCTGCCCAATTGACGAGGTGCTCGCTTATGCATTTGCACCATTGGCGTTGTTTAAACGACGAGAAATACGCATCTGCTGGGAGATCTGACTACTAGACAACGCAGCAGACCTCGCCGGAGAACAAGGCCCGGCGGGTTGTCCTACTGGAATGCTTAGATCTGCAGCTGTCTCGGGGCTAAAGGGTCTCTTGGCTGGATGGCGGGAAAGGCGCAACCTGCTGCGTCGTGGGTAAGCTGGCGCAGGGAGCCCGGCGGTACAAAATCGAAGATCAAGCAAAGCGGAGCGGTAATTCGTTAGCGAGCGAAGCGAGCGAGGACAAAGCAGAGGTGAGTGGATGAGAGTGGGCAGGGACTAGCAATGGCCAATGGTGATTGAAAAAAGGCCACTAGCAAATAAACTATAAAAGCTTCAGAAAAGGGGCAGCAAGCAAATTGCCAGATCCTGCTTGGGCCGTTGAAAAAAACCATTCATGCGAAGCAATTGGCTTTGCGAGATACCAGAAAGCTTATTTCCACCAGCAACTCTTATTCGCCAGCAGCAACCACAGAGGCCTTTTTCGCTGCCACCACGGTGACGTTTCGGACACGAGCGATGTTTCAAATACGACGTGGTGACGACACCAGGGGCGCTTTTGGCGGTGTCAAGCAGGCAGCCACTTTTTTTTTTTTTTTTTTTTTTATAGCTTCGGTGGTCCGCCTGGTCCTGCCAGCACATGAACATTAGCGGCTGCCCAGCGCCTGAATCTCCACTTTATATCCTAGGGTCGTCAGGGCCTACAACCGCTATGCGGCGGAAGCCCGAGTCTTGAAAAACACAAACCCTTGGGCGCCTATATTGCATGATCCGGGTTCTGCTGGACCGCCTGTTCTCTGCATTCATACCACGTCATGAGACACGCGGGATTTAGGCCTCGAGGCAGCTGTTGTTCGGTTAAAAACGAGGCAGGCATCCATAACCGAAGATTGGGTTTTCTGGTGATATCGGGATGGTGGGGTAGAGATGTGCCGAGATAAGATAAAGGGCGGCGTGAGGGGAGGGCTACAAATGGCCTCATTAATAATTTAATTTTGCTCTCTCATATATCACTCTGGAGATAATCTCGTGTATCTCGTTTTTAAAATGTTCATTACTCGTTGTGCGTGGTCGCCAGGTGACGTCTGCGACCGTTGAAGGAAAAAAAATGTGCCGAAAAATAATCTGCCAAAAACTCAAAATAACATCACCCAAAAAAAAAATAATAGTATCGCTGTCGTGACGTAAAAAAATATTAGACTGGTGCCGATGCGAAAGGAGGAAAAATATTTCACAAATTTCTTCGCTCACTCGCGCCTTAAATAATATTCGCCCCATCGAGCTCCGCTGGAAGCTGCTCCCCATACGTCTGGGGCCAATCCTGTGCTAGGATAGCCGGCGCGCGTAACTGCGCATGCTGGCGCATGTCTAAAGCGCAGAAAAATGCAGAAATCAGGCCACTGCCCTGAGCGAAGCATCCAGACGTTCGATGAACGGTAAACCGCCAGCGTAGGCAGGAAAAACCCGAGTAGAGAATCTTGGTTGCATCTGGCGAGCAGCAACCACCAAAAGTGTGGTCTAGTATGGGCATGCCGCCGCCGCCACCTAAAATTCCTCTCTGAAACGCACACCGCACTAAGAAAATCAACAAAAGTGACATGGGGTGGGGCGGCGCAAACACGTCAGATCCTACCTCCAAGAGCCCGCTCCTGTACCGATACCCTTGTTAGATCTTCCTAAACTGGCGTGAGCTCCTGTAACTGCCACGATCGCTACGCTGCGGCTTTAGAGCCCTGCCACACAGCCGTCGCCTGTGAATAGGGAGTTTCTCCCAAAATGGAAGACTTTGAGAATCCGCCATTGCTGCAATAGTCCCTGGCGCTGCGGAGCCAGCCTCGCCTGCTATTGTTTTCTGTCGCTCGTCTGACTCCGGAATTAAGGCTTGCTCGCCTCGGTGAACGAGCTGCTTTGCGCTCTGTCTTATTTTTTGCTGTTTGCGCTCACGGCAGGCCAGGAATTTACCGCTGCTTCTGACCATCGGCTACTGCGTCTGCATTAGTCTGTTTTCGAGCAGCACCTCTTTCGACTGAACACCTCTCCAGCTTTTGTAAACCTCTTCACATGTCGACTAGCGAGGTCGATCTTCCGGGGAAAAACCTTGGCCTCGCCAGCCCAATTGGGCAACGGACGTCTCAATTGATGCTAATTTTACCCCAGAAACCTAGTCTATGCTTCTCTTCTATGCCTCACGCTTCTGCCTCTTCAAAGCATGGCTGTCGGTGTCCTCAAGCAAGTACAGCACTTTGCCCTTGAACAGTGGCGACGCAGGCTTCGGCGTCAGAGGCTTGGGCGTGCTCAAGGCACCACTGGCCTCGGTGGTCTCCGTGGAGCTCGACAGCTGCGGCAATTGATGAGGGATCTGCTCGCTGCTCTCGCGTTCTTCGAGAATCGTCAGCACCCCCGGCGGATGCATCTGGGGCAGCGGCTGCTCGTGAGGCGCTAGCAGCAGCTTGCGGTCATCGATCAAGTGGGATATCGAGCCGAAGGACGATCTGCCGCCGCTCGAAAGGGACGAGATGGACGAGGCGCCCAGGAATATCAGCAGCAGGTTGGAGCCCATGGAGTCGAAGGTTCGGGAGCCGCCGGGGTGGCCCGAGGCATGCAATTCGATCAACAGCGGGCGCAACTTGTCGTAGACAGACTTTCGGATGGGAATGGACGAAAGCGAGGGCCGCAGAACAGGCTGCGCTGGAGGGCTGCTGCCCAAAGGTGGGAGCTTGATGGCGTCGTTGGAACGCGGAGGCGCCAAGGGGTCAAAGAGCAACGAGGGATGACGGGGCCGCCTGTCGTGGGGCTGGTCCCAGGGTTTTCTGAACTGTAGGGTTTCGTCGCTGCGGGGAGGAGGAGGATCCTGGTATGTCGGGAGCAGCAGGGTGGAGTGGGAGTAGCGTAGCGGCTGCTCGGGGTGCTGCTGGTAGCGGACCTCTTCGTGGGAGCGTCTTTTGGGCGTGGGACTGGCGGGTTTCTCCTTTGGTGTAGGTGGGGGAAGAATCACAGGATAGTGTTCCGGAGGGTACGGGCTTGGAACCGGCGGGAGAGGGGGCCCGTTGGGCCCGTTATGATGGGGAGGGCCCTGGTAGACGGGACCATGCACGGGCACTTGCCATTGGGGGTAGTAGTAAGGGTACGGATGGGGCCTGGCGTGGTAGTAGGCGACCTGCGGGTCGTGGGAGCGGTGGAGGTGGTGGTTATTGGAGGTGGGATTGTGGTTGTTTTCGGACTCGAGCACCAGGGAGTTGCGGGACGAGTTCAGCAGCAGCCTGCGCTTGATGTAGACTAGGGAGCTCTCGTCGTTCTTCTTGAACTTGCCCAGCGAGTGGCGGAACTCCCAGATGGGGGAGTCCTTGTCGTGGTAGGCCAGCTGCGGGTCCAGGATCTTGTGGAAGCCGTACATGTGGAGCTGGCGCACAAAAGAGGCCACGTTGCCGTGCTTGAAGTAGTCCAGAAGAGCGTCAGCGAACTCCTTGCTGGGGTACAAGGCGAAGGTGTTGGAGTCGTCGGGCCCTGTCCACCAGATGAGGTGGGCCAACTTTGGGTTGTTGAGCATCCCGTAGAGCTTGTGCACAAAGGCGTTTTTCTTTACGGGCGGGTCCAGTTTTGGCGTCATGACATCAGGGGATGGAGCTGGGGCACGGGAGTTCTTTGGGGTTTGGGAAGTGATTGTTGGGATTTTGGAGGGAAAGGCGCCTATGTGGGCACTTCAAGGAGAAGAAGGCGCCTGCTGGGGATTATGGGATTTGGGAGGCAAACTGGTGGCCTTTGGATTCAGCAGTTTGTAATTCTGGAAAGTCCACTGGAAAGGTGTTGGTGCCTGCTGAAGGATGGATGGGGATGTCTGGGTTTTGGATTTCGATGGGAGACCTTCGATTAACGGCCTGGAGGGAAAAAAAAGGAAGAAGCAGGCGGTGGGACAACCAGCTATTAATACAGCGGTGAGGAAGAAAAGTGGTACGCACGGGCCGTTAGAGACATTTTTTCTGGCTAAGATTCGGCTC